ATCCAGATTTTGCTTCGGGCCACAATGTTGTAAACAGTACTGGGCCAGCCCTCCTGCCCTATAGAGCTAGAAAACTGCACAGAGTAAACAAAGCAAGTGTTTTCAGATACTGGTCCACAGGTAGCCCAAGACTGACCCGTGAGAGAGATGAGATCTGCCATTTTCCCTGCTTTCTGCCTGGAGGTACTTTTTGGACTCCAACACAAGGAGGAGGAGCTCAGTGTATTAAGTCTGACGGAACTAGAATCCAAAGGCTGGGGTTAAGAAAGGCTGGAGCCACTGGACTTGCAGGACAGAGCACCAAAAGGTGGGAATCCAGCCACTAGGACATCAGAAATGCTGGGGTCACCTCATGTTTTTGGCCGATGATAAGCGTTGTGTGCAGTAACTCAGACTGTGACGGAAGCTCAGAGCAACAAGGGGCCTGTGAAACTGCCAGCTACCAGAGGGTTTCTGAGACTGGGAGACTTTCACATTCTGATCAGAGTGAAAAGACCTTATGAATGAACACTCAGGCATTTGATAGAAACCCTGGAGAGGCCAGACTTGGCCCAAGGGCCAAGCAAAAGCCAGCCTTGGGTGGATCAAGCTGATCTACCACCACGTTACCTTCCCCCAAATGTTTTACTTCAATAGTTATTTATTTATTAGAAAGGCAAGAGTTAGAGACAGACATCTCCCACCAGCAATTCCATGCCTCCATTGGCCACAATAGCCAGGACTGGACCAGGCTGAAGCCAGGAGGCCAGAACTCCATCCTGGTCTCCTGTGTGGATGGCCGGGGCCCAAACACAGGCCATCCTCTGCCGTCCTCCCAGGCTCATTAGCGGGGAACTGAGTCAGAAGTGGAGCAGCCAGGGCTGGAACCAGCACTCAGATGAGATGGGATGCCAGCATCGCAGGCAGTGGCTTTACCTGCTGTACCACAGTGCTGCCCTGACCCAGGCAGACAAGATTAAAAAAAATCCAGACAATATTCAAAATGTCCAGGGTTCAGTAAAAAAGATTATTTTAGATATGTGAAGAGGCAGAAAAGTATGACTTGTAACCAGGAGAGAAATGAGCGGGCAGAAATAGGTCTAAAAATGATGGGTGGTAGAATTAATGTATGCTTCTAGGAAGCTATCATACGATTTTTAGAAGATTTTAGAAACTGCTAGTACAGCGAACAAAGGAACAGAAAATACAATGGCTCAACACATATCTACAGCATAAACCAATCAAGCCAAGCAACCAGCTCTCCAATTCTTTTTTTTTTTCTTTGTATTTAGATCAACTCTTCTCTTCCAGTTCTTAATTCATCATTGCAAGGTATAGTGCCCCACCTGTGCTGTGCAGTACAAGGACTTGTTAGTTCTGTGTATTGAAACCATTTAGCCAACCTCTGTCTGTCTTCCCTTCACCTTTCCTAGTGTCTGGTAATTACTGTTTTTTTGTTTGTTTGTTTGTTTGTTTAAGATTATTTATTTGAAAGTCACAGTGTGAAAACGAGAGCGGTTCCATCCATTGGTTTACTCCCCGGATGGCCACAAGGAGGCAGGAGCTTTATTTGGGTCTCCCATGTGGTTTTCAGGGGCCCAAACACTTGGGCCATCCCCCTCTGCGTTTCCCATGTCATTAGCAGGGAGCTGGATCAGAAGTAGAGTAGCTGGTCCATGAACTGTTGCCACAATGCCGGCCCCTCTGGTTATTGCTAGTCTAAGTTCAGATAGACTTTTTTTTTTAACCTCCATATGAGAAACAATATGCAATGTTTGTCTTTCTCTGTTTGGCTTATTTAACTTAATGTAATAATCTCCAGTCCCATCTATTTCATCCTTTTTATGGCTGTATAATATTCCATTTGTGTGTGTGTGTGTGTGTGTACCTTTTTAAAAAATCTTTCCATGCATCAATGGACATTCAGGTTGATTCATACCTGTGGTATTGAGTAGTACTGCAGCTCCCTCTTCATAGGCTGAGTTTGTTTCTTTCAGATACGTATGCAGAAGTGGGATAACTGGATGCTGCCGTGGATCTGTTGCTTTTCCACAATGGCTGCACCGATCTGCACTCCCTTCAGCAGTGTGTAGGGTTCCTTCTTTTGCACATCCTCCCTGGCGTTTGTTATCTCTTGTTTTAGGTGATAGGCATTCTAACTGGAGAGAGATGATACCTCACTATGGTTTGGATGTGTATTTCACACATGGTGTACATGGTGATATTAAGCATTTTTTTCAAGTTTTTTTTTTTTTTTTTTTTTTTTTTTTTTTGCCATTTGTATTTCTTCATGTGAGAAATGTCTGTTCAGATTCTTTGCCCATTTCTCAACTAAATTTGTTGCTGTGATTTTTTTGAGCTCCTGATGTATTCTGTATCAATCTTTTGTCAGATGCATAGTTTGCAAGTATTTATCCCATTCTGTTGGTTGTCTGCACTCTGTTGATGTTTGCTTAGCTGGGTGGAAGCTTCTTAGTTTGATATAAAAATCACATTTGCCTACTCTTGATGCCTGTGCTTTTGGGGTCTTATCTAAAAAATTCTTGCATATGTTTTGTAATACTTCTGCTATGTTTTCTTCTTGTGGATTCATAGTTTTAGGTCTTACATTTACATCTCTGACCCATTTTGAGTTGACTTTTATACAGGGGGAGGGGAAGAGGTCAAGCTTCAGTCTTCTCCATGTGGGTGTCTGCTTTTCCCAGAACTGTTTATTGAAGAGTCTGTTCCTTCTCCAATAAATGTTTTTGGCACCTTTGTGAAAGATCAGCTGATAGTACGTGGAGAAAACCATTTTTAGAATCTGGATTCTGTTCCATTGCTCTGTGTGTACTTTTATGTCAGTCCCATGCTGTTTTGTTTGTAGGAACTCTGTAGTATGTCTTGAAATCTAGTACTGTGATGCCTACAACTTTTTTATTTTTATGCAGGATGTTTTGGCTGTTCGGTCTTTTGTGCTTCCATGTGAATTTTAGTCTTTTTTTCTAGTACTGTGAAGAATGCCAGTGGTATTTTGATGGAGTTTATACTGAATGTGTAAATCACTTTGGGTAATATGTACATTTTTAACAAAACTAATTCCTCCTATTTTTGTGATTTTTTTAAAAAAGATTTATTTATTTATTTGAAAGGCAGAGTTTCAAAGAGAGAGAGGCGGAGACAAAGAGACCGTCAATCCGCTGGTTCACTCCCCCAGTGGCTACAATTGCCAAAGCTGGATCATTTTGAAGTCAGAAGCCAGAAGCTTCTGTGGTAGGTGCAGGGGCCCAAGCACTTGGGCCATCTGCTGCTGCTTTCCCGGTGCCCATATGAGATGCTGGTGCCGCAGGCTGCAGCTTCACTGTCTTCACCACAGCCTTGGTCCCTATCTTTGTGATTTCCTATGCTGCTTTTCTGCCCTGTGACTTAACTGAGTTCATTCGTTAGTTCTAATGTTCCTTTGTGGAGTATTTTGGTTCTCCTATATATAGAATCATGTTCTCTGCAAACAGGGATAACTTCCTCTTTTCCTATTTGTGTGCCTTTTATTTCTTTCTCCTGTTTAATTGCTCTGGCTAAGACTTCCAGTGCTTTATTGAATTAGAGTGATGGAAGTGGATCTGTTTGGTTCCGGATCTTAGAGGATTTACTGCCGTATTTAAAGTGCAGTCCTTCCCACACATTCTGCGTCTCTTACCCAGCGCTGTTGATGTTCTCTTTGGCATTTATCATTTACGGGCATAATGCACTGCACGATTCTGTATTTATGTGTTTTCTTTTTTATTGGGTATAACATTTTTTCCTGCTTTGTTTACTCAGGTATCTTTAACATTTAGAAAAAGGTCCTTTAGATGATAGCTGCTCAGTAAATATGAATTGAAGGAGAAAACAATAGCAGTAATTGGCAAGTTTATTAGAGTTCTCAAGAGAAAACCAACAGGTTGTGTGTGTGTGTATATGTATGTATGTATGAGTTTACTTAAAAAAAAAAACTCATGGAAAATGGACATATCTTTTTCTTTTAAGGATTCATTTTATTTATTTTGAATGTAGAGTTAGAGAGGAGGAAAGACAGAGACAGAGAATCTTCTACCTGCTAATTCACTCACCAAATGCCTGCAATGGCCAGGACTGGGCCAGTCTGAAGCCAGGAGCCCAGAGCTGCTTCCCGGTCTCCCACATGGGTACAGGGGTCAAACACTTGAGCCATCTTCCGCTGCTTCCCCAGGCACATTAGCAGGGAGCTGATAAGAATTGAAGCAGCTGGGATTCAAACTGAGACCCATACGGGATGCCAGTGCTGCATGTGGTGTGTGGCTATACCGGCTATTCCACAGCACCAGCTCTGCATGAAGCTTTTTTTTTAAAAAGTTATTTATTTATTTGAAAGGCAGAGTTTGAGAAAGGAAGAACGAGAGAAAGGTCTTCCATCTGCTGGTTCACTCCCCAGTTCTCTTGTGTATATAGTTTGGTACCACATCTGTGGATTTCTGCAACTGAAAACAATAATAGATTGTTCGCTGCATTTTAGGTTTTCATCAGATTCTTTTTGCTACTAATGATTCTACCAAAAATCAAATATCCAGAAGCATAGTTTTTTTTTTTTTTTAATTGCTGGAATCTTCTGGTAAAGATGATAAAGACACATCGAGTTGTTTATTGGAAGCTTGTTAATATGGTTTCCTGCATCCACACCAGTGTTGCTATTTAGAATGACAGCTTTTAAAATACATAGCCCCTAAAGAAGCTTTACAGTCAAGGATGTTAAGTTAAGGAATAGACTCAAAATGTAAATCCCATGGAAGTCATTGTAACTTTTAGTTGTGTCCACTGATATTTTATACACTGTGTTTTGTTAAACTGATTAAGTGAAATAAATTAAAATTGGAGTTCATCTTTTTTTCTACGACATTTTCGGATCATAAGTTTGAGGTAAAGACTCTGCATTTGAAGTTAATTTGTTTTGTTAGTTAATATGTAGGAACATTCTCACAACAAGTATATTCTAACCAGCCCCTTGAACTGTTTCTGCTTCCTCATAGCTATCGGATGATGGTCGCTATGTCCTGTTATCCATACGGGAGGGGTGTGACCCAGTGAACCGGCTCTGGTACTGCGATCTCCAGCAGGAACCCAATGGCATCACTGGTGAGTTTTTCAGACATAGACCATTATGCCAGGGTCTCCTGATTCATTTCCCCAGACACCTTCATCTATCCCATAATGGCTTTTCTTTCAATACCATCTCATTCAACTAGGAAAAATTGGGTGAAGTTAACTGCTGCTTCTCTATAGATTGGGGTGACCCCTATTATCTCTCTTTCTTCATGAAACTATGCTGAGTATCGCAGGTGAAGAGTGTTAAGGAGAAGCAGGTCCTGTCGTCTGTGAAGTGTCACTGGCTAAGATCCAGTGGTACAGACTGTCACAGGAGTGGTTGTCATCAACAGATAACCAAATACCGGCTTCTCCGGACTAAGCTGTGTGCACAGTGACAGCTTGCTTGTGTTTCCCAGGGTCTTGCATATTGTGTTGGTAAGCATAAAACCAGCGAGTCACAACTTCAGGAGTTGGATCCTTTGTAATGTTATTCTCTCCCAACTTCTCTTCCAAGCCAGCACTGACAGCAGCATTAAAACTTTTCAGCTGTACCGTTTACTCTGCTAAAATTTCCCAGTTCCCTAAGCTATCCCACTGGCACTCAGAACACAATTATATTGTGTACTGGTGAAATAAATGCATATTGGGGACAAGTGACACAGATTTCCAAAATGTACAGTACTGGTGGTGTTGCTATAATGACAACAATAATAACAGCTGTAATAACTTAATAATAAGCTGTAGCAACAGCAAAAAAGGTTTCTTTCTGCATTTTGTTACAACTTCCACTTGCAGTGTTCTTCCTCAACAGAGTACTGTTTCTATTCTCTTTATAACTTCATTATGGCTTTCCTTGATTGGGTTGTTTTGTGTTCTTTGAAAAGTTCACAAACTAAACAATACAGATTGCTTCGTTGATTCAATTCCAATTGCCAATGCGCATACTGCACCGCTCCTGCTGTACCCACTGTAATAAAAGAAAGCAATACTTGAGAGGAAACTCACAGGTGCTGGCAAAACCCAGGGTACCCCCTTTGATTTCTCCCTAATTATCTGGTCTTTATGCATCCCTGCCTCTCCTCACAGCCCCCATTTTAGCATTAGAGAAGAGAGCAGTGTGGTGCTAAGAGATTGGGATTACAGCAGGAAGACAGTACAAAGGCTCACTAGTTCCTCAAAAACAAAGTCCTAGACAGCACAGCCTTGAACATGACAGACAAAAACAGGAGGTATCTTCTAAGACATCCTACATGGCTACCTGAAGATACAGAAGAAAAAACACAAACTCGGGTTTTCCTATTGTATACTCCCAACACAGATAGCTTTTGAGATCCTGAAATGTGTGGGGGTCTCGCAGGGTGAAGGACTGGCCCTCACTTTGATGCCAGTAGCAGGTCTGGACCTCTGGAACTTCTGACCTACCAGTTGTGGTTCCCACAACCCTCTCCTGCAGCTCCACTAATTGGCCAGAGCAGCTCACAGCATTGGGGGAAATTCTTGGTTACATTTATGGTACATGTGTTTAGAAGACGATGTTTTAAAGGATACAAATAAACGGCCAGGTAAAGAGGTGACCGAGGCGAGGTCTGGGCAGCATGGTCCTCCTGGAGTCGGGGTTCACTGTCCTCCCTGCCTGGGAGCCTGCACCTGTTCAGCTGTACAGGAGCTCTCCAGTGCTTTCCCGTTGGGTTTGTATGGAGACTTGGTTATAGAAGCTTGGACCACCATGGAGAAATGGGAATAAACAGAGAGGATGAGCTCCAAGGCTGAGAGACTGAGTGGGGAACCCAGCAAGGCCAGAATCTGTCTGGGTTTTTCTTACCCTCTCTGCAGCATTCCTTTCTCCCAGGCATGGGGCAAGCCGCCTTCTGAAGTGAGGCATCTTAGGACCTACTGTTGCAGTATTTCTTTATGGCTAGCCCCAAGAGGGGAAGACCCAGGAAGGGTAGGGCAATATTTTCAGTTACTGTTATCCACCTTGGAGTGAAAGAAACCCTAGTGTCTGTGGTTTGTCTTGGACAGAAAAGGAACAGGTGAAATGAGGGAGGAGAGGCTGAGAGAGAGATTTTGGCTTCTGAAGCCTGAAGCCCTCCAGCATTCTAACAGAAGACTGTCTTTCACCTTCATTGCTCAGAAGTGACTTCAGAAGCCAAGGGAAAAGGCCAAGTACATTCAACTGACTAGTCTAGTAAATTAGGAAGTAGCAAGGCTGTGAGGATTATGAGCCAGGAACTAGTGCTGAAAACCAAGATACCTACGGGGCAGGCTGTTGGTGCAGCAGTTAAGATGTTGCCTGGGACACTTGAATCCCATATCGGCAGAGTGCCTGGGTTGGTTTCTGCTCTGCTCTCAGTGCCAGCTCTCTGTTTATTGTATACCCAAGGGAGGCAACAGGTGATGGCTCAAGTAGTTGGGTCCCTGCCACCTACATGGGAGACCTGGATTGAGTTCCCAGCCTAGCCAAGCCTTGGTCTTTGAGAGCATTTTTGGGGATTGAGCTAAGGAATGAGAGCATTCTGTCTCTGTCTCTGAGTGCCTCTCTTTTCTCTCTCCCCATCCCTCTCACAAAATAAAATGAAAAAAGAAGCCAGGTAGGTAAATCATAAGTCACAGTGATGATGCATGTATACCCTAAGACCCCATTTGCAGAATAAGGCAGCTCCTGACCCTCCTCACAAGCAGATCTTGACTTGGTTACAAGTCAAGTTTTCTCTGCTTCCTAGGGTGGTTGCTGTGTAGCTTAGAGAAGGAAGAACTCAGGAAATGTTGTCCGTGTTTACTCTCCAGTTTGTTCTCTCTGTTTTTAAAAAAGTGTTCCAAAGGAATAAGGTTATCATGTCTTGATTGGAAATAAATCTAGCTACCAGAGCTGTGTGTAAACCTACACTTATTTGGGCCCATGTCTCTCAGAGTCAGATAGGGCCCGCGCATGTCTTAGGAAAGTTATTCCGAGGCGTTTTGCGTGGGTGTGGTATTGAGAGCTTATGAATGTGTTTTATTGAGAGTTTATGAATGGCCAAAGGAGCAGAGGCAGCAGGAGGGACATGGTCAGAGCTGATTGCCAGAAGTGGCGGTGGAGGTTGTTAGGTAAATGCACCTGCATGGGCAGGCTAAAGCTCACGTCCTCATGTGGAATTTCTATGGGGAAGCCCTGGCTCAGCCCCTAAGGCTTTGTTAGGGCTGATTGTGTCAGCTGCCCTGACTGCCAAGGAGAATCTCTCTGAAAGTCACTGATTGTGGACTTGTCATTACACCCGCAGCAGCACCTCAATGGTGGGTGTTTGATTGATTCACCTGGTCCGTCAGCCCAGCCAAAAAGGCATCACAGTGAGCTCCCCAAAGCTGCAGGGAGAGCAACAGCACAAACAGGAGGTGATGCTCTCCTAATTTCATTTTCTCAGAGCGTTACTAAAGGGCTCAGAGTTTAGACTGCGGTGAGGCATTTGGGAAGGCACGTCAAGTCCTGCAGACGTGAAGGCAGGGTTTGAAATGAGTAATAGGATAGGCAGACTTAAAGCTGCCGAGCTGTGTGCTGACAGATGGAACGGACTCTGAGCGTGTGGCCAGTGATGGCTGCTGGGTACCAGGTACAGCACTGGGCCTGATGTCTTTTGTAAATTATTGCTTTACTGGCATGAAATTGGTGGATAGCATAAACTTCAGAATAGCTATTCTTTTCAATAGTGGTATTGAGATTCTGAAAGCACTTGACAGTTATAGAGATTGAGTAAATGGGTATCGCTTTCTGTACTTTAGTTCAGAGATCAGTTGCAATGCAGCAGGATTAGAGAGATCTTGTTTGTTTTTTAATCGATCTCTGTGGTTCATTGTGAGTCAGTGACGTGGTGATGACTGTTAAAAGAAATGAGTACTGTGTGTGAGTTTAACTATTGAAGAGATTAAATTTAATCTATAAATGGGAAGGCGGCAGATTGAGAATGGTCATACAAATTTATAAATTGTTCCAGTTCATTACAGTTGGATGTATTGGGACAATCATGAGGCTTTCAAATCAGATTTAAATTTTAATATCTCAGCCCCACCACTAAATAACTGGTGACATTGAGAAAGTTGGTTCTCTCTGTCTCTCAATATTTTCATGTCTACAATTGGGTAAATAATAGCTACTTCTGTGGAAATTGTGAGGAATAATAAAAATGCATAGAAAAAGGCTTAGCAGGGATCCTGGCAACCAGTGAGTTCTCAAGTGTTCCTCCTTCTTTCTTTTGTGTGTAATCAGCACAGCTTGGTTTTAGGTGGCATAGAAAAGTACAAGAAAGACATTCTTTAAAAAAAAAAAAAAAAAGCCATGCTTATCATCAAGTTGCTCTAAACACAAATTTTGATGTTAACTTTTTTGTAAAACCAGATTCATAATTTAAAAAAAAATGGCCCTTTAGTCATTAAAGAACACAAATAGATACGTCTTTAGTGGGAGACAATGAGGGAAAATGTCTGGTTCCATAGACTGACAACTGAAAATTAGGCTCCCTTTTAATGTACCTGGGAAAGCAGCAGCAAATGGCCCAAGTACTTGGGCCCCTGTGCCCACGTGGGAGACCCAGAGGAAGTTCCTAGTTCCTGGCTTAGGCCTGGCTCAGCTCTGGCTGTTGCAGCCTTCTGCGGAGTGAACCAGCTGCTAGAAGATTGATCTCTCTGTCTCTCCTCTCACTCTCTCTCTCTGTAAATCTTTCAAATAAATAAATCTTTAAAAAATAAAGATGGGAGGTTTATAAGCCTGCTTGGAGACCATGATCACTTCCCAACACCATTTGCTTGTGATTTCTCTACCTACTCTCCTGTTTTGTTACCTTTTTAAAGGAGGGGGAAGAAAAACATTTAATTTAAATACTGTTAACAGATTAGTTAACTTAAATCTTAGTTAAACTTGAATAACTGGTAACGAAGTTAAACTCTGTTAGGAAGCTTCTAATAGTATGTTACTGAAACCTATATACCCGTTTTGATAATCTGTATCCCTTTCTGCTATGACTTTTAATCTTTCTTCTCTGAAAGGCAGAATTATCAGCAGTCTTTATTAAAACACC